ACCCAGCCGGCTGGGAGATGTAAGGCCGTAGTCCAGCCTTGGCAGGAGGAGGCATCGGCTTCGCTGAGCGCTGGTTTCAGAGGTAGATCTGGATTAAGGTAACTGGGAGGCAGCTGTTTCCCAAAGCGTAGGTGTTTTTTGGCGTGGGCCACCGGGCAGCCTTCTCAGATCCCGGCGGGAGGGTGTTTGTGAACACGGACCTTCTGCGAGAAAGCGTGCGCAGGAGCAGAGCTTCCCCGGCAGGGGAGAGGATACTTCACTGCCTTAACACTGATTTCATCTCCAGATGGTCAGATAGGTTTGACTGGAATGGCCTTCACGTCCTCTCTGCGAGCGTGGGTCTGGGGCATGTGGGACGCCATCCCACCCCACAGGAGAAGCCACGGTTCTCGTGCACCGCTTTTGAGCCAAACCACTAGCTAGCAAAGGGCTTGGGGCGCTTTGCGCGCGTCTGGAAGAACGAGAGTCTTGCGTCCTGCTGCAGCGTTTCCGAACACCGAGGAGGCTGAGGCTGCCCAGGGGTTACTGCAGATGTGGCAGGGCTGTGGGAGCACTCGAGCAGCTTTTGGAGAGGTTGTGAATAGGGTCCTTGTACTTTGTCTTTCCGTGTGTGACACCTGACCAGGCTGGGACTGTTCACTTGAGGGACTTCACTTGTCATAAACTCAGGCCTGGCTCGCTCCCAAAATCCCAGAGAGCATGAAGGGAGGAAAGGGACAGACTAGATCTCATTATCTTTATTTTTCTTTAATGATGAGCTGCGTAGCTTGGAGTTCATGGAGCGGCACTCCCGGGAGGTTCGGTTCCCCTGGCTGGGCAGAAGTGGGCTGAGAGGGCAGGAGATCGTCCTGGGCAGGGAGCTTCTGGGCTTGCTCTTTATGCATCCCTAAAGCAGGCAGAGGCTGGTGTGGTGCCAGGGCAGAAAAGCCTCGCTGCCTTGCTGGGATCCCTGCGGGGCGTCTCTTCGCCATTCTCCGCTGCGTTCTCTCCATGCCTTACCCCGGCAAGCGGAGCTCTTTGCTCACGCACCCGCCAGGAGACGCGTGCATCCCCTTCTCGTTCCGCAAAGCGCTTTCCTCGAGCTGCACCACGGGCCGGGTAGGAAGGGGACCAGTCACCTCCCAGAGGCACGTGCTGGAGCGCTTCGCCCTCTCGTCTCCTCCTGCCAGAGGGACGACGGGGACCGTGCCCGCCTTCCACCCTTCTCCTTTCGAACTCCTCTGCTGCCAGCGGCTCCCAGAAGCCCAGCGTCTGGCACAGGCGTTCCCCTCTCTGCTGCAGGAAACCACGGTTTGGCGTCTTGGGAGGGGGGCAAGGGGCATGGGCGCTCCCTGAGGAGCTGCTCTGCCCGCTGCAGGTGGAGCCGGGCCCTGAGACACTGCTGTTGCTGCCCTCCCAAGCCCCACTAAGTGCCTGTCACCAGAACTCAATTCCTGCATCTCCTGCCGTGTTTGGTCATTCCTCGCTGCCTCTGGTCACGGAGCAGCTTGTAGTTGCAGCATATGTAAGTGTTTGCAGGGTGAGGGAGGGAGGGGGGGAAAAAGGGCCATCTCAACAGTTTTTGTTCTTAAATGTTTTTGGGTTTGGTTTTTTTTTTTAGGTTATTTTTGGGGGTTTTTTTGTTAAAGTGAATGTATTTGATTGTTTAGAAACTTTCCTGACCTTGTTTTTAAGTGGGTGGGACTGAAAGCTGGTTCACAGTGACCCACTACCGCTTCTCTCTGGAGATCCGATGTTCTTTTAATCCTACGATGATGTGTTTGTAGGGGAGGACTGTCCCCCCGCGGCATGCTGGTAATGCTCACTTGTACCAAGCCCTCTTGCACTATAATCGTACGTTGGACTCTTCAGAAGGGCAAAGATGTGGGGTGGCTTTTTTAAATTAAAGACGAGAAAATAAAGCAGGTGAAGAGCAAGTCCTGTGCTTGAGGCAGCTGCTGTCCCCAGGGAGCTGGGAGGTGACTAGGAGACAAGCCAGACTGAGCCAACCATGCTGTGGTAGGAACAGGGCATTAGGCCTACCTGGGAACAAATTCTCCTCTCCTCCCGCAAGTCCTGAGCAGCTGGGAGACCCCAGGGGCATAGTGGGGAGGGCTCTTGGGCCTGAGTGGCAGGGGGTCCCTGGCGTTGTGCTGGCCTCCCCGAGGTAGCTCTCCCACGGTGTGGCCCGCCAACGTTGCGATGCAGTCTTCTGAGGTATCAAGTGAGATGATGATTATTTTTTTTTCAATAAAACATTGCACTGCTGCATTGTTCTCCATGAACAGACGTATTTTTTTCTCTCTTCCTGACAACATTCCTTGTGTTTTCCTTTGCTTCTTGGGCACTCTTGGTAGCCCTCCTCTCCTGTGAAAAGCTCTGAGCCCTCCTGTGAGGGGACAGTGGTGTAGGATCTTACAGGACCTTCTCAACTCTTTGTGCTTTACAGCCATGGATAATTCAGCCCCACAGAGGTTGGCCAAGGCATGGTGGCACCCATTTCTCTTTTTCTCTGTGC